GCTTTAGTTATCATGGTGAATACGGGAGCATTTAAAGCCGATAATAGCTTTAAATCAGGTTATGTAACGTTTCTTGAACAAGCGTTAAATTTTTTTTTACCGGGCTCCAGGATTTTAGGGAAACCACGCATTGAATCAAAATTAAAATAATGAAGAAAGATAGGACTGTTGTGCAGGACATGATAAGTGGTTCATATACTAGTGGCTTCGGATACGATAGTGTAAAGCATTGTGTCGTTGATGAAGACTAAGTTTGAGAGCCGTATCTTCAGGTACATGCTAAAAAGAACTTGTTATTTATATTTGCGTAATATATAATCATAGTTATATGTATATTTATGTTATTCTATTATGAAATAGGACCATAAAGGGGCGGGAAAATGGAGGAACAAACCGTATCCTTTTTATGAGGATCTTTATATTGTATTTGGAAAAGATCGTGCTCAAGGAAATAGAGCAGGAGATTTTGTTGAGGCGGAAGAGGAGGTGCATATAGAAGATCAAACACAACACATGAATGACGTGTCTGATGACGTGATGGCAACTAGCAATGTTCAAGGTGGTAATGCAAATATACAATCTGAAGAAACTTCAAGTGTGCATGGTAAGAAGAGAGAACGTCGAGTAGATCCCATGACTGACGGATTTAGTAACGCGGTTACTAAACTTGGAGCAACTTTGGAGAAAATGGCGAACAACTTAACAAGGGTATCGGACGAGAAAAAGAACTTGATAAGAACCGTTCGATGATCACTTCTGAGATATCAAAAATGCAGCCATTGGCCCAATCAGAGAAGTTTAACGTAATTTCATTGATAAGACACAATCTTGAAAATGTGAACATGTTTTGGGACTTGCAAGAAGCAGATAGGGAAACTTACGTGAATTGGGTTTTGAATGAATGGAAAAATTTGGTGGGTAAAAGTGTGGTTTTGGAAGAATAATTTGGTAGTTAGATATGTATTTTGGATTAACATGTTTGATGGTTAAATATGTATTTTGGATTAACAGATTTGTTGGTTAAATATGCATTTTGGATGAACAAGTTTGGTTGTTAAATATGTATTTTGGATTAATAGGTTTGTTGGTTAAATAGGTAGTTTTGAGAAAATGAAAGAGATTTGCTGACTAAAATAATTACAAAAGGAAAAAAATTTCAACCCCAAATCCTACAAACCAAACATGATCTATAAAGGAATGAATTTCAAAGCCAATCCAAATCCTACAAACCAAACACAATAAAGGATTTTAAATCCAATCCAATCTAAAGCCTTCAATAAAATCCAAATCCCTAAAAAACATTCCTGCAAACCAAATGCACCCTAATGGTTGTTATACCCAGAGACCTAAACCAATACAAATTGCAAACAACAAGGGAAACCATGTAATTGATGAAGTCAAAGTACGATAACCGTATTTTTGGTAAACCACAGGGACGAAAAATGTAATTCACCCTATATTATAGCATAATAATATATAATAAAGAAATGTTAAAATATATGTTTAACAATAATACATAATTAAAGAAATGTTATAAAAGATATTTTAAAGAGATGGATGTAAGAAACCATGCAAAAATATTTGAACAAAAGTAATTGAAAATTAAAGTAATATTAAAAAAAATAAAAATGCCTTTGAATTAATGAACTTCTTTAATAACAACGAATTAGGGGAACTAAAAATGAAATGGAATTAGTAACCATAATGATCAAGTTAAAACTGTAAATAATTTTAAAAAAATTATAATTGATAGTGAATGGTAATCATAGGCACCAAAAAAATCCAATTTACTCTTAAAAATAAATGGAGAAATGACAAAAAAGGAACATACCTTCCGAGTTAACAAACCTATTTAACAGAAGTTAGTTTGATGACCAGAAGTGAAACAAAATAACAACCATACTGATCAAAAATGTAATTAGTTCAAGATGAACGAGATAGTGATGACAACCACAGATACAGAAAGTGTAATTTGTAATTGATTATACAAATCCAAACACTTTAATATTATATATAATAAATCAAATTAAAATATATTAATTAACATATTCTACTATTTAATTTTCTTTACCGTATGTAGGGCTGTAAACGAACCGAACGTTCAGCGAACCGTTCGTGAACCGTTCGGCGGGAGTTCGTTTATGTTCGTTTATTTAATAAATGAACGAACATGAACAAAAAATTTTGTTCGTTTAGTTAAACGAACGAACATGAACAAGAGTCTCGTTCGTTCATTTATGTTCGTGAACGTGCGTTCATTTATGTTCGTGAACGTTCGTTCGTTTACGTTCGTTTATGTTCGTTCGTTTATGTATTAATTTTAATATATAATTTTTATTTATTTAATTTGAATTTAAATTTTAAAACTTTTTTAATTATTGAGCTTTTAAAGGGTTTAGGCCTTTTTTAATATTGGGCTTTTTAATAGGGTTTTGATTATGTTCGTTTACGTTCGTTTATGTTCGTTTATGTTCGTTAAGACTGTTCGTTTATGTTCNGTTTATGTTCGTTAAGACTGTTCGTTTATGTTCGTTTATGTTCATTTAGGCATGTTCGTTTATGTTCGTTAAGACTGTTCGTTTATGTTCGTTTAACTTGTTAACGAACGAACATGAACGAACACGAACACATCGGATTTCTAAACGAACGAACACGAACACAATTATTTTCGTTCGTTTACCGTTCGTGTTCGTTCGTTTGTTCGGTTAAGTTAAACGAACGAACACGAACAAGCCTCCGTTCGTGTTCGTTCGGTTCGTTTACAGCCCTAACCGTATGGTTTGTACTAATTATTAACATATTATATTATTAGTGAATTATTTTAAATATATTATGAGATGTTAAAATTCATAAATTCAAAAATTGACATTTTTGGTTATTTTACATTTTCAACTAACTTATCAGCTAGTTAATTTATACCAAACGTTCAAAACCAGTTTGCCAAACATAGCCTAATTGATTAAAAACATTCATTTTTCGGTTAATGTCGACTCTTTCACAACTTTATACCACCAAATTTAAACATCCACCGTAGAGTGATTGACACCAAAATATATAAAACAATTTTAATCATTTAACTTTTGATTAATAAATAAATAAATAATAATATAATATAAAATACATTATATTAAATATTATATATTTAATCATATCATATCATATATACATTAAAGTTGTTTTTCCGACGGATTTTGCCGTCGGAAAAACCAGATTTTTTAGTAGTGTAACTTCAATTCAAAACAGAAGCCGTTCCATGAATATCCAGTTTTTTTTAATTCTCGGATTTTCTGGTTATCCGTTTTCCCAGTTTCGGATCAAATAGCTATGCTCGCTTTCTCGATTTTCTAGTTTTTTAACTCCCCTATATCTTTTCTTATTGGTTTTCAAAATGTGTGCCGGGTGTATGGGGAATTATCGCTAAATGAGATTCTCTCATCCGGAAAGTTGGGTTGAATGTTAATAATTTCTGGGCGGTTGACAGCAATGGCTCTCGCCGCTGGGCTTTATCCGAGGATGGGATTTTCTCGGTTAAGACGTGTCGGGGAAAGATTGACGAAGGTGTTTTACAATCTGACGGAAGTGTTTCGAAGTGGAACAAATTAGTTCCTGGTAAAGTGAATATGCTTATCTGGCGTTTTTCAAAGTCTAGACTCCCCACTAGACATAATCTTTTCCTTAGAGGTGTCCAAGTGAGCTCAGTTCTCTGTCCTTGTTGCCTAAATCAAACAGAAACGGAAGATCATCTCTTGTTTGGTTGTTCGACTACAAAGGTGATCGGTGCGTATGTAAAGAATTGATGGTCGGGCTTTCCTTGCCAAGCTACCAATTTGGCGGAATTTTTTTCTGCAGCACAATTTCCTTTCAAAGGGAAGAAGGTTAAGGAGGGCTTGGAAGTAATTCTCATGGCGTTTATTTGGATGATTTGGACGAATCGAAATGCGTTGGTCTTCAACAAACCCGGTAAAAACCCGATGGTAATTTACAAGGATATTGTGCTTTTTTCTTTTAATTGGATTAGACTCAGATCGAAGCCTTGTAATTCTCTCGATTGGAATGTTTGGTGTACCAGCCTTTTAACGGCTCTTTTGTAAGTGCTAGCATCTTGCTAGCCTCGGCGGTTTCTTAATTAAATTGTTGTTTCTAAAAAAAAATGTGTGTCTCAAAATATGATGGCAATAAATGATTATTGGGATTAAAAACAGACCAATGCCTTGCTTTGAACAGCTTCATGAATCTCGTTTAAAACATGTAGAAAGCGACGGGTCTCGTCGGCTCCACAATGAATGGTTAAATGGAATTTGAACCCTTGCATAAAATTCAATATTATGAAACGTACGTTTTTGTAAGTATTCATATTTTAATATATTTTGGATAAAGATTTAATTAAAAAATTAAATTTGATTACCGAGCTCATGAGACATATGACCAGGGCCAGATCCATATGCCACCACTAAAAGATTTACGTCACTACAACCAAATTGGGTTTATAAGACACCCCCAAATTCTAATCGTCCAATCAATAGACCGTTTTATAGGACTTAATTTATAAAGCGTCATATCTAAAGGTGTTAAGTTTATATGACGCTTTTAGACATCTTAACAAGTTTTTTAGGACATTTTTAATACAAAGTGTCGCATCAGCAACTTTATAGGATATTTTTTAGAAAGTGTCCTATAAACTCAATTTTTTGTAGGACATTTGTTTTTATATAGCAGTTTTTCAAATAGTGTCCTATAAAGTTGCTAATGAGACGCTTTATATTAAAAGTGTCATAAAAAATTTATTACGACGTCAAAAAACGTCATATAAAAATATTACAACACCTCTAAATAGGATGTTTTTTATTTTTGGGTCCTATAAATTAAGTCTTATAAAGAGGTTTATTAAGACGCTTAGAAATTGAGAGTGCCCTGTAAACCCGATTTTGTTGTAGTGTGTGTTTTTTTGTTTTACAACACGTAAAAAGATCTAGAATTGAAAATATTTGAAGGTTATGATACTTGAAGGTTATGGTGTGTTTGTGGCTATAAATACACAACACCTTAGCTACAAAACTGTTATCAATAATTCAATATCTCTTTCAATGTATCCCCCTCCCTCTCTACCAATCTCTTGTTCTGCTTATGGAGATCAACAACCGTATGACACAAAAAGACACCAATCATCCTCAATCTCCTCGAAAGAGGATTTTATGCCAACCGACATAAACGATAAGGTCTTAAGTTTTCTATGCATCTTTCGATCATGGCACTGTTCACTTATTTGTATACATCTTTTGATCATGACACTGTTCACATATTAGTTGTTTCTTCTCATATGAAACACTCCTGAATTGCAGCAAGAACTGTCCATCAAACATTCGAAACATTTAGAGGAAGTTCGAAACCTTCTTAAAGAAGAGCCTTTCCAAACTTTGGACATGGTTGACTGTCTCCAAAAACTTTGCATCGGTCATCACTTCCAAGACGAGATTGACTCGATCTTGAAAATGTCTTACACTAGAATTTCCAATGGCGGTGTCGATAAGAATGACCAGAGTCTATTTGAGGTCGCTCGTTGTTTTCGAATCCTTCGACAAGAAGGTTACTATGTTCCTTCTGGTGAGCACAATCTGTGTCTTTGTTCCTTTTGCTTGTAGTATGCTTCTGATTCAGAAAATGTCGATTATACTGATAGGTAATGATTACTTAGTGAACTGTGTTCAAATTCAGATGTTTTTTCGTTCATCAAGCAAGACGATGGGAGGTTTAAGGAAGAAATAGCACAAGATGTTAAGGGATTAGTGGCATTATACGAAGCATCACAGCTAAGCATAGGAGAATGTATATTTGAGGGGGCTGTGGAGTTTTGCAGCGATCGTCTTACAGGAATGATGGGGTTTCTTGTTCAAGATGAAACTTTAATGGTGAAAACTACACTAGAACATCCTTATCAAAGAACCTCATCATCATTTTTGGTCAAGAAATTTATCAAACATTACGCAGGGTCTGCCATGTCTCAACTAGCCGAGTTGGAGTTGGCTAAAGTCCAGTCCGCACATCAGACCGAAGTAGAGAAAATTTCCAGGTAAAATTGTAATGGATCCGGCATCATGTTGAACTCTCATTGTACATGGTACTTTTATATATATATATATATATATATAATCAGGCTCATTCGAGAACGATAACCAAATAAGTGACTAAGAAAACAGTCAAATCACAAGTGATCTTATATTGAAATCATGTGTAAAATCACATATGATGCACGTCACTTTGGTCGCGACATGAAGTCACGAGTTACGTTGCCTGCACACTTTTGCCTTGACCGTTTAAATCAAATGTAATTTTGTATGTGATTTGGCTGTTTTTTTATTTAGTTAATGTTCTCGTTTTAACCTCCTTATATATAGGAGACACCTAGACCCCTGTGCATTTGATTAAATAGAAACACATAGTTAAGAAAAGCTTTCTGTGTCTATAAATGTTGTTCTTTCTATGTGCTAAAAATGGATTTTTCATTACCAAATAGATGGTGGAAGGACTTGGGTTTGGCTCAAGAGTTGAAGCTTGCAAGAAACCAACCATTGAACTGGTACTTATGGCCCATGGCTAGCCTCATAGATCCCAACTTGTCAGAGGAGAGAGTTGAGCTCACAAAGCCCATTGCTTTAATCTTTATAATCGATGATATATACGATCTTTATGGAACTCTAGACGAACTCATCGTCTTCACAGAAGCTGTGAAAAGGTATAGTATTTATTAGCCTTCAATAACATAACTTGTGTCTCTATGTGATGCTGATTAATTACGAKTTGCTGCGTATATTACTTGCAGATGGGATACTAACTCCCTTGATCAACTTCCATATCACCAAAGGATTTGTATTCAGGCTCTATATGATGTAACACATGAAATCAGTGACAGGATCTACAAGAAACATGGATTCAATCCCATTGCGTACTTTAAAAACACGGTAATTTGCAACCCGAATAAACGAAGTTTATGGGTCAAGGGAAAAGTAAACTTACTTTTACAAATGATCGAATTCATGCAGTGGATAACTCTTTGTGAAGCATTTCTAGTGGAGGCAAGATGGTTTGCATCGGGGAACTTACCGATGGCAGCGGATTACTTGAAGAACGGGATCGTAAGTTCTGGGGCACAAGTAGTTATAGTGCACATGTTCTTCCTCCTCGGCGGTGGTACGAGCAAGGAAACCGCTAGTGTTATTAACGACAACCAAGTCATTCCAACATCTTTGGCAAAAATTCTTCGTCTTTGGGACGACTTAGGATGTGCCAAGGTAAAAATTTAAGAAAACAATACTTGATTRATACATACCATAAATGTGACTAGATATATAACTTCGAACCTTGGCATGTTATCTTTTTGCAAATAGATGTTATATTGATGCATGTATATGTCATATACTAATACTCATTTGTTCATTACAATCTAACAGGATGAGAATCAAGATGGTCATGACGGATCATACGTGATGTACTACATGAAAGAAAACGAAGGTTGTTCGATTCAGAATGCACGCGAACATGTTATGTCGATGATATCAGATACATGGAAGCAACTAAACAAGGAGTGTCTCTTCCAAAATCAATTTTCAGCAACATTCACAAAGGCTTGTGTGAATCTTGCAAGGATGGTCCCAATTATGTATAATTATGATGAGAATCATTCACTTCCTCTACTTAAAGAATATATAAACTCAATGTTTTAGGGGGGAAAACTCACAAGAACCACATATAATAGGGGTTAAGTTCATGTTTGAACCATCAGAAGCTCATGTGGAAATTTGTGTAATAGATTTCTATGTCAAGTTTTTAGTTATTGAATTATTCACATATTTACTAGGAAGTGAATTATGGGGAAGTACTTGGACTTCTCTTATTTTATACCCTGGTCAGTTTTTTTTCTTTCTTCTCATCATGACAAGCAATGGCAACACCATTCTTAATTCCTATGAACCCTCAAAACCTTTTGTTCTAATTAACTTCTCGAATGTCATCAAAACTTTCTCCTACTAACTATATATCTTGGAAATATCAATCCAAGCCCTTCTCTTTGGCCATGACCTACTCAATTTCGTCGATGGTTCCCACCATTGCCCATCTGAAACCATCACAAAAGACACTAAAACTGAATCCAACCCGCCCTATCAAACTTGGCAACGCCAAGACAAACTCATCTTCGGGAGCCTTCTTGGTACCCTCTCCCCTACCATTGTGCCTCTCGTCGCTCACGCTACTACCACTCATGATGTTTGGATCACCCTCGCTACTACCTACGCCAACCCCTCTCGTGGGCATCTTCTCCAAATTAAAGATCATTTGGACACCCTCTCTAAAACCAACCAAACTATCACTGAATACATGCAATCTATTAAAGCATGCACCGATAAACTATCTATCATGGGTAAACTCATGGACAATGAAGACATCATAGCCAAAGTCCCCAAAATCCTTGACTATGATTCTTACAAACCCATCATTGATGTCGTTCGTGCTCGTGACTCTCTTATAACCTTTGAAGCCCTTCATGAGAAGCTTATCAATCATGTAATTACTCAAAAATCAAGCCCAACCACCTTTATTTCCCTCTTCCGTTCATGTTGCCACCTATCGTCCTCATCAAAACCGTTCCTACTCTCGCAACACCACTACCCTCGGACTACTTCCCACCCCAAACACCACCACCACCTACAATCGCACCTCAAAACCTTATCTCGGTAAGTGTCAATGGTGCCATCATGTTGGTCATGTCGTATCTCAATGCCCCACCTTCAAACAACTCTCCCCTCACATAGTTTTTCCTACATTTCCCCTCGGTCCAAACCCAACCCAAGACTCTCGTCCCATCACCCATAGTTATAAAGTTCACCGCTCAGCTCAAGCTAATGTCGCTACCTTTGCTAATCCCTTTTCCTCTTTGTAGTTCACGGATAGCGGTGCTACTCACCATGTCACAAATGATTTGACCAGCTTAGCTTTACATGCCCCTTATGTCGGCTCCGACGATCTCATCATTGGTGATGGCTCTTCTTTAGTGATTTCCCATATTGGTTCTTTCTCTCTCTCTACCTCACATAAATTATTTACATTCTCTAATGTTTTACTTGTACCATCAATATCTTGAAATATTCTCTCTATTTCTCAATTTTGCTTAGAAAATTACACTCTTGTTGATATATTACCTACTTTTTTTTGTATTAAGGATCGCTCGACGGGCCTCATACTCCTCCAAGGACCAACTAGCGGGGGCATCTACGAATGGAGCCATCACCTCTTCTCGTTCACTCAAGCATGGTTATTCCTCCCATCAATTGGCAATTTCGCTTAGGCCACCCTTCTATTGATATCATTAAAACCCTACGAAGTCAAGTACCATTAAATTTTTCTTCATTTCAATCTAGATGTAATTCTTGCAATATTAATAAAAGTCATAAACTATTCTTCTCCAAGTTTACTCTTACTTCTACCGCTCCGTTAGAACTAATATTTATGGACGTTTGGACGGCTCCATTCTTTCATATGACAATTTTAAATATTATGTCATCTTTGTTGATCACTTTACAAAATATATTTGGTTATATCCCCTCAAACAAAAATCGGACACTGCTTCCACTTTTCAACGCTTTCGTGCTTCAGTTGAAAAATTCTTCGCTCGTCCTATTATTCAATTATTCTCCGACAATGGCAGGGAATATCTCAAACTTACTCCTGATCTCTTAACTAATGGCATTTCTCATCTCACCTCACCACCCCATACACCCGAATATAATGGGTACACCAAACAAAGACACCGTCACATCGTTGAAACGGGTCTCACACTTTTATCACATGCTAACCTCCCTCTTAATTTTTGGCCCCATGCTTTTACAACTACATATCTAAAATTGTCTCATTACTCCTACTTTCCACAATTTCTCTCCCTACCTCAAACTCTTCAATACCACCCCAAATTACACCAAACTTCGAAGCTTTGGTTGTCTCTGTTATCCGTGGTTAACACCATATAACACCCACAAAATGCAATCTAAGTCCACCCCATAATATTTGTTGGTTACTCTTCCACTCAAAGTGCCTATTACTGTCTCAATCCAAGAACCAGCAAAGTTTACACTTCTCGGCATGTCAAATTTATTGAGTGACAATTTCCTTATTCTATTCTATGCTTCGCACCATGCTCGTCCGCCAATATAAATGCTCATGAGTAGTGCACCCTTTCTCTACCTCTTATTCACAACAATAATATTGTCTCAAACAACCCCCCAACATCACCTTCTAACATTCCCTCATCTAATTTAGCTAATAGTCCTCCCTCAACCTCACATAATTCTATGTCCTCTCTTTCCCCTATTGTGCAAACCATTCCATCCCATCAAAAGCACACCATCTTCCTCCATCGCATCCTCACCTACAACCTCTTCTCCACCATCCTTACTTCAACCAACCTATACCATTATCACTCATCTAAAAAATAACATCAACAAACCCAATACTAGATACCTTAACCATGTCTCTCTCCTCCTCTTCACGCACCTACAAGTTCCATAAAATCTCTCAAATACCCAACATGGTGTCAAGCCATGCAGCTTAAATTCGATGCCCTTACCCGTAACAACACCTGGCACCTTGTTCCTCCTCATGCTTCTCAAAATATCATTGGTTGTAAATGGGTATTTCGCATCATATATAAGCCAGATGGCTCCATTGAACGGTGCAAAGCCCGACTTATTGCAAAGGGCTTTCACCAACGCCCCGACATTGACTACTTTGAAACATTTAGCCCAGTTGTAAAGCCTACCAGTATTTGCCTTATTCTATCCATGGCTGTTTGTCGTGGTTGGTCTCTCCGTCAACTCGACATTAACAACACATTTCTTCAAGGCACTCTTACCGAGAATATTTACATGTCTCAACCCACAGGATTTATCGACAAAGAACATCCTACCCATGTTTGTAAACTTAACAAAGTTATTTACGGCCTTAAACAATCCCCAAGAGCTTGGTATACAGAACTTAAAACTTTCCTTCTATCTCCTGAATTTTGAAACTCAATCTCTGATCCATCCCTATTTCTATATCAATATGGTACTACCATCATCTACCTATTAGTATACGTTGATGATATTATTGTCATTGGTCCTTCTCCTTCTTACCTAACAGATTGCATCTCTATTCTTTCTCATCATTTCTCCCTCAAAGACCTTGGTCCCCTATCCTATTTTCTAGGTATTGAAGTCATCCCTAATACCCAAGGTCTTTTTCTTAACCAAACCAAATACATTCATGACGTGCTAGTAAATATAACATGCATAACTCCAAATCAGTATCCACTCCCCTAGCTCTAAATCCTCCCCTCATTTATGCCACGAACCCACCTATTCCCAGCCATACAGAATATCAAGCTATTCTTGGAAGCCTATAATAACTCTCTTTCACTCCTCAAGATGTTGCCTATGCTGTCAACAAACTATCACAATATATGCATTGCCCCTCTAATGATCATTGGCTTGCTCTTAAGCGATTATTACGATACTTAAATGGTACTTCTCACTATGGTCTTCAACTCTACCGTAGTTCTCCATTAAGACTCAATGCTTTTACAAATGCAGATTGGGCTTGGGACACATATAACTATATTTCTACCACGGGTTACTTAGTTTATCTTGGTCGTAATCTAATTTCATGGAGCTCCAAAAAGCAACGGGCCTTGGCCCGTTTATCCACTGAGGTGGAATTTCGTGCAATTGCTGACACAACAACTGTAGTACTTTGGCTATGTTCCTTGCTTACCGAGCTTGGAATTACACCAACACATCAGCCTTATATCTATTGTGATAATCTTGGTGTCATACACTACTCTGCCAATCCTGTTTTTCACTCTTGCATGAAATACCTCGCATTGGACTTTCACTTTGTTCGTGAACAAGTACAACTTGGCACAATTCGAGTTCAACATATTCCCAGCGGTGATCAGTTAGCAGATGTCCTTACCAAACCATTACCCAAATCTCGCTTCTATACACTACTAGCCAAGATTGGACTTTCCTAAATGACATCCATCTTGAGGGGGACAAAGTCTCTACCTTGATTCATGCTTCAATCAAGGATAACAATCCTTGATTTTGATCATTTGTATTATTACCGTAATATCTCATTTGTTTAGAATTATTCTTGTGAATATTTTTTTTTAATTAGATTGATTTGTTTCCCTCTAAATGAATTGTAAATGTATGTATAAATAGCCTCCATTGTGTTAATAAAATCAACAAGTCTTTCTTCTCTTATATATATATTATTTGAACTTCTGGTCTATTTGCGAATTACTTGACTAAACTGGTTCTAACCATTAACAAGCTCTAACGGTCAATTCCAACATACATATCATTAAAAGGAAATAAGGTCTTCAATTAATTAATTGAACTTTTACATCCAAATGGCTTTAAAGAAGCTCATAAATCCTGGATGGGGATAGCATGAAGTCCTAACGGAACCTGGTTCCGAATAGACTAACAATATTTCAAATTATTTCAATGTTATCAGAATTTCAGACAAGTGATTAGTATGGATAAAGAATGAGATAACACTAAGCATTAAATTTAAGGAAATAAAAAAACTTCGTTAAAATCATCTGTGATGTAGACCTTCGGCAATCCGTTGGTAACATAGACCTTCGGCAGTTCATCAGTCATGAAAAGGTTATCGTAAATCCTTAGTGATGTTGGTTTGTAGATGATCTGTTGTTGAAAGGGCCCTTTGGCACTACCCTGTTGATGGTATCCTTCGGGGATCTGTCGGTGGAAGTCTTTACCCTGTTGATGGACTTTCATCTACCACATGCCAAAAGATGTCATCTTCACCAATGAG